AGGTGTTACTGCCCCATGGTGTCACCGGTCCTGTCCGAGTGGCTGGGTGAGAGTTCCGAAAGGCTGTCACTGGATCACCTCCTGTTACAGAAATACTCAGCAAGACACAGCGTGACAATTAGTGATGTCAGTTGCCCTGAACCATCAACATTTTGAACTATTTTGGTACAATGGAAAGTTGTGGGAGGGAAAGGAAAAGAACAGGATTAAAATAGCTGACATGGTTCTGAAGAGCATTCTGCCTGTAAGCCCCTTGCCTGCACACTGCCGTCCCTCCTTCTCGTCTGCCTGTCCCCAGACTCCTGCATTAACCACATCAGCAAATCTTAAACAACTCTCTTCTTATTACTTCATAGAATCATAGAATGGCCTGGGCTGGAAAGGACCTCAAAGATCATCAAGTTGAGGTCCTTTCCAGCCCAGGCCATTCTATTCATAATAATCTGGATTGGACTAAATTGTTCAAAACTGTTTCACCTACATCAGGATAAAACAAGACTGATTTTTTAAAATATTTGCTTTAGTCTTGCCAATGCACACAAGCATCCCCAACACCAGCTCTCTCCAGCAAGGAGAGTCGGGGCAGCAGAGGAGAGGCAGCCACACCAAACGCGCTCTGCTTCCACCCACCTACGCCCCATTTCATGAACACATTTAAGGTGACTTTGCACGATCCCTTAAACAGAATTGAATGTCAAAATTAACCTGGTTTCTCCCTGATCTTGCTATGAATTGAGGAACAGATAAGGAATTGAATTTTTCAAAAATTTGTAAGTGCTGGACGTAAGCACACCTAGCACCATCCAGGATACCAACACAAACTCGCTAATTTATCTGACTGTAGCAATCATTATCGCTGAAGACAAATTACTACACTCTTTAGAAGTACCTGTAAAAATTCCACTTGGTTAGTAATGCCAGTGGCACACCTACCCAAAAAAAGAGTGGAGTTGTTTTACTTTTTGGTTGGTATCCAAATCAATCCCTGCAGATTGCTGTAAGAAGGGAGGCTCTCATGAGGAAGAGGAGTTTTAAGTTATCTGTTCCCACACTCGTCCTGCAGTATGTGTACATCCGAACCGTCCTGCACTTTATCAGCAGTCATTACACAACGACATCAGAACTCCACAGCCCACATCACCCCTCCTTCTTGGCACCATATCACCGATTATTAGTCAGCTATCCCAGAGGGACTGGGATCCACTGGAGACTTAAAAGGAAACACACTGACTCCAAAGCTGCACGAGGAGCGGTCTCTGAAAAGAGCCTGCGCAGGACCCCAGGTGCCAGGGCACAGCAAACGCGCTGCACGAGCTGCACTTGAGCATCAGGATTCAAGCACTGGCAGTGAACACTGAGCCCTGAACTCATCAGCACGTGGCTCTGGAGAACGCTTCTGGCCAGCTCGGTTATCTGCTGGGGACAAAGAGAGGAGATCGCTGCTCTACCTGCGTCTGCCTTCCACTTGTGCTGCCTGAGACCAGTAAAAGCACACCTCTGCAAGGAAGCCAACAGTCATCAGCCACTTCACAAAGAACTTGAAAAATTAATTAAATAACGTTAAAAAGTAGAATAATATTCCAAATTTTTACATTGTTTTCTCCCTTTCCCCTTCTACCTCTCTCCAGAACCACCAAGTTGTAGGAAACAACACAACAAAAAACCAGAAAAACTGCACCCATTTTGGTTTTTTCCTCCCTAACCACGGGCTAAATCATTACACAATTCATTACAGGAGAGGGGAAACTGAGACTGACAGATTTCAGAAACCATCTGAAGTGAAACGCAAGTCCTAATGAACCACTGTGCTAAGGAATACACACAACTTCATCTCAGCTACACTATGATTAATTTAAAGGAGAGATGACACTTTTCTAAAGGTATTTAATTTTTTAAAATCATAACAAGCGCGCAGTCTTGGTGCCATCCCTGAAGTGTTAAACACAGTTTACTAACCCTTATGATGAAAGATACAAGCATCTCCAGAGTTCTTCACAGCTGAATCACTAATAATTGAAAAGAGCAATAAACCTACCAGTAGCTTTCATAAAAAATTAATTGGAGAGGCTGAGAGCACATCTGTTGCTTTTGTTACTTTTTCCCCCTTTCTGGTTCAGTCGTCTTTCCCCATGGTCTTTTAAACTCTTCTCAGGTTCTCATGTCTGCTGCTGCTTCTTGTGAATCCTCGTTGTTTCCTCACACTTCCCTCCTTGTTTCCTCCCCGTACTGGTTTTTCCTTTGGCAGCTGTCACTACCAGTGTGTGACACCCAGCAGGTAGGAGGACTAGGACCTACTAACTAATAAAAACAACTTGCATGGTAAAAGCTTCAAGAGAGTGAGCTACTTATAAGTACATACAACTCATGTAAATAACGTAAAAGGGATTTGCTGTCGGGGGAGATTGCACTGATAAAGTATCCTACTGGAAGAACTGAACTTTATAATTCACAACCAGGAGAGAGACAGAAATGGAGGGCAACTTAGAGAGATCCTTTGTCCACAGAATTTCTGCAAGTCCTTGGCAGCCTGTGGGGGACTGGGAGGCAATGATGATGGCTCCCAGTTGGGCCTGAGAAACAAGCCTAAAACGCAGTGAGCTGTTCATAATGCCAGGCTACGCACAAGCAAGGCATCCCTCGATCTCATCACCAAGCCTTCTGTAGGGCTGATCAACAGAAAATAATTACTTCACCCAAAGCTTAGTATTGATTCATGTTCTGTATAGACTACAGAAAACTCCATCAGCAGTGCTTCAGGCAGACGGGCTTAAAAGTGGCATTTGATACCCTTTGATATCCTACACTGACTCGGAAATAGATGGTAAACCATCACAGTAATGCGGGATTAATCTCAGTTAACTTCCTATGACTACAACCTAAGCACCAGGGAGTGAGCCGGTCGCTCTGTGCTGGGCTGGCACTGCACCTCTGCATTCAGACACTGCTTGCAGCTCCCTGCTCTCCTCTGCCAGCAATCAAGGGACAAGGCTCAGCTGTGGATGCCTGTGTTCAAAGAAATCCACCACACCTGTCACCAACAAGCCACCACTTTTGGCCTCAACGAGGTCCCATCTGGTTCTTTCTTTCACCATCACTGGGCTCATGCTTCCTGAAGCACTAATACCTGATTTCTGCAACAAGGAGACTTCGACTGGAGTCAGTCACCCAGGCTCCCAGCCAGCACGCTGTCCGAGCTCTCTGCAGGACAGGATGAGTGTATGCTTTACAGAACAAAAACTGAAGAAAAGCAGCGTGAAGCAACACGTGTAAGGTCAGATAAAGCACCTGAAGTATATTCAAGAAAATAAATAAGAGAACCAGTCTGGCACTAAAGAAAGTTTTTGTGACTTCACACTTCTCTAACTGGGTGCAAAAGGAGATAACTCAGAATGAAAAGATACATTAAAAAAAAAAAAAAACCCTTCTACTATGAAGCAGCAATCACTCCCATCTAGTAAAGCCTAGTAAAATAAAGTTATGCTATTAATTCCTGAGCCCAAAATATTTTATGTATGACAGCAACTTTTTCCTGCTTTCGTAACAGTTTTTTAACATATATAGAAAAACTAAATCTCAGGAAAAAAAGGCAAATAAGATTATGCACAATGTCTGTACATACTCCAGCTGGAGGAGGAAGGACGAAGTTATGCTATACTTTTTCGAAAGCATGCACTGAACACATCAGACCAATCTATGTTTCCCTGCTAAGTCACAGGAAGTTAACTATGCTTAAAAATAAGCCACCATAGATGCTGAACAAAAGCTTTTGTCAATTCTTCCCTACAGAGGCACCCATCTATTTACATCTGGGAGTGCTGCCAACAGCACAGCTACCAAAAACTTCAAAAGGTTCACAGTGTGAATAGCAAACCATTGGCCAAAGGATTTTATGATACGACCAGCTGTGTAACACCGTATCGAATTATAGACACCACCACCCCCCAAAAAAATGCAAAGAGGGGATGTTAAACCTCTTAAAAATCTGGAAAAAAACCCTGAATTCCTTAAACTAATGCTTTCTACAGGAAAGTATTTTTAATGAGGAAAAAAAACCCAAACCAAGAATCACTACAATACAAAACTCCTTTAGGAGCAACTCTAAGCAGTTCTCACCAAGCCTAACTTTAAGCCCAGTGAACTTTGCTGGTTTAACTCGCAGGCAGGGCTCAGCCGCTTTGTGATCACAACGCTCGGCTTTAATAAATGGCTCCCCTCAACCCGCCTGGGGAGAGAAGAGGCATGAGTCAGGAAGAGAGGGATAATATTTCTGTTGACAAACATTGAACAATTGGCAACCGACAGTAGGAAACAGGGACAAACGAAAGCTTGCCAAATAAAGTTACACTGGAGGAACAAGGCTTCTTTTTGGAGCAATGCTGCCATTCTTTACAGATCCCAGAAAAATATCTGAACACAGTTAACCAAAAGAAAAAGCTGTGGTTATTGACGAGCGAGGCTGCTAATCCTAATATTTGTGGTGACGTTTTCCCCTGCAAAGCAGAGCGGGTCAGAACTCCTCCGAATCAAATTACTGCGCGTCCTGTGCCAGGGCGTCTGGTTTTGGTCTCAGTAGTCATACACGGCGCAGTGTTCACACGAGTCTTTCTGAGCTACATGAGCAATTTTTTCCCCTCATCTTACAACATTTCTGTAGAAAACATGCCAAAGCATACGCAGTGTCTTGCTCAGACTCCTTATTCAGGGAAAGCCAGGAATTTCGCTGTCTGCTTACATCCTGGAAATGCAGTTCTCAGGGAGCACAGACAAAACTCAATTGCAGTATCAGGCGGACAAATGTTTCTCTCCGAGCAGCTCTTGCTATCCAGCTCCCACCCTCCAGATAGCTCCCTCCACAGGAGCCAGCAGCAGCCTCCCTCCTCCAGACCCGAGCGGGGCCCAGCAGAACGAGGCACCGGGACAAATTTTTAACTTCAGTTCCTCTCCCAGGGCTGCCCAAACCCTCCCGGGGACACCCCCCGCCCCGGCGGACCCCTCCTTACCGCAGCACCTTGCCCACCGCCTGCAGGACCATTTTACAGCTTAATCCGGGTTTGGGGCTCTGGGCGAGGA